CAGATGTATTCAGTCTTAGATTTTTATTTTATTTTTAATGTAAACTCTCCTGAACAAGACAGAGAAGCTCCGCATCAATAAGCAGAACACGGTCTTGTCCTCTTTCCCAATGGTGGTCCTTTGTGAGCCACTCAAGACTTCAGCTGAGCTCCTCAAAGCTCAACGAAGCGCACGCCTGAGCATTCCCTTCACAGACTCCTGAGCGGGCTCATTGTTTAAATGCCCATTAAGAACACCGAATATGCCTTTTCTCTCAAACAAATACAAAACTCTGTAACACAAAGTGAAAGTGACTGTTCTATTAATGTCCATCTTGCATCAGGAAGTTTCTAAAAGGGTGGAAATTTTATAATTGACTTTTCTGCTAGTAGCAAATGTCACTTTTTCCTTAATCCTTCATAATTCACTAAGGTGTTTCAAAAGCCTCCAAGGCTACCACCACAACAGGACTTACAAATTAGCACATTTTTTCGCTTTTCATTAAACACAATACAGAAATCTTCTCATATTAAGGTTTCTCGCCTCATTATTGAAAGTACTAGTACTTTGGAACTTCTGGTAGCAAATTATAATGTGCTCAGCCAGTGTCTATTGTAAAATATGCACTTCAAAAACTATCACATACTTGTTCCTCTTTAAGCACTGGAAAAATTGAAGTCTATTTTAAAAAGCTTTGTGGAGTCCGTCTAGCCTTGCAAATCATTGCTATGCTATGCCGAGCTCCCTTTTATTTTCCACGGGCACCATGCCATTATTGTTCTTTCATAAATCAAAAGAGATTGTTTCTTGCTGTGATGAAAAATTACTTAAGGTAACAGGCCATATGAAAACCCCAAATCATTTTGGGCTCTTCTCTCTATTATTTGCCTCACACATTTCTGGCACTATGCTATCTCCTGAACTGACCTCCTTGCCTAGTGAGCAGGTGATATTTCAGAAACCTCCCAAGGTAGAAACCCATGGTCTGCTTTGATCTCCACCTGGAGGAAGGCAGGCAGATGAATCTGCAAAGATGGCATCCACATAGCAGCCATAAGCTGCCTGTCAGAACCATTGCAGCAGACAAATCAAAGGGAAAAACGTACATGTGGCTCTAGCTAATTCCTCAATGGGTGTTTCCTCTAAACATAAGATGTTGCTAGAGTTCACAAGGGAAGTCCCATCTCCTACAAAGAAATATACTGCTAACAAGGTTCTCTTTCTCCAAAAGAACAAGCAAGCCCTGGTGATTTTTTAATGTTTTTCAAATGAAAGAAAGCAGCATCTTCTCTCACTGGCTTGTCACAGTCCCAATGACCCTCTTCCTGTATTCCATTTTCTCTCACTCAATGAATTATTTCTAAAGGAACACCCACTAGCATAGCCTTCTACCCCTGAGTGGCTAGGTGAAGTGTTTGCAAAGCTATCCTTCAATGCTTGACTTGCAGAAACTTCATAGGGATGGGGGGGAAAGGCCTCTGACAGACAAGTTGCAGCTGAGATTTTCAGAGGTAGAGGTGCTGAGACAGCATTATAACTTCTGCTTAATCTGCATGGTGGGTACTTCATGTCATTGCTAAGGAACAAAGTTAGAACCCAGAATATCTTGCAGAATTGTTTTAGGTATCTCTTCTTTAAGAAGAGGCCTTCTCTCAGGACCAACATATATCACCACCAGAAGGGGCTCTCTGCTTTTCATTTGGTTACTGAACTGCTGGCTACTGAATTCTCTCAGTAGTTTAGAGTAACACATACTAATTAAAACAATTAAAAGCAATACAGTAATACCTCGGTTCACGAATGCTTCTGTTCATGAGCAATTCGGTTTGCGAACAGCAGCGTTCGCAAAATTTTGCTTCCGTTCGCGAACTCCGCATCAGGTGATGAACACAACCCGCGGCCATCTTCCCTGCTCTGACACGTGGTTGTGGTTTCTTCTAGGCGAGATCACGGTCGCAGACAGACACTTGCTGTG